CACGAGCATTAAAAAAGGAAAAGGGGATTTTTCCTGATGTAAGTCCAAAAAAGGCGAAAACATTGTCCGAAAAAACGAAGAGGAAGGTCATTGATTTTTATAACGATGGCGAGGTGTCACGCATTTGTCCAGGAAAAAAGGACTTCATTTCCGTCGTAAATTCTAAAGGAAAACGAGAACATGTGCAAAAACGACTCTTGCTGGCCAATTTACGCGAACTATATTTGAATTTTAAAGAAAAATCAGGTGATGAAGCCAACATTGGGTTTTCTAAATTCTGCGAACTTCGGCCACGTTGGTGCATTACCGTTGGAGCTAAAGGAACGCATTCGGTATGCGTTTGCGAACAACATCAGAACCTCAAGTTACTGCTTGCTTCGCTCCCTGGTCCAAAGCTCGATCATAAATGCTTAATGGAAAAAAGTTGTTTGTGATGTCAGTGATAGAAACTGTATGCTTCATCGCTGCGAGAAATGTCCAGGCGCCGCCAAACTGAAAGAATACCTCCAATCTGTTTTCACCGAGCGATCAATTGAAGAGGAAGATGAGTCAACATTCAAACAATGGACAAATACTGATGGTACACGACTCATTACACGACAGGAGTTGGCCTATGATATTTTGGAGGAGATAGTTTTGCAAGTTAGCGCGTTAACTAATCACAGTTTTATTGCAAAGGCACAGGCTTCCTATCTGTCAAAGCAAAAAGAGTCGTTGAAGAAAGGAACTGCGATTGTTTTGCTTGATTTCTCCGAGAATTATTCGTTTGTTGTTCAAGATGCTGCCCAGGGTTATTATTGGGACAACACTCAAGCTACATTGCATCCGCTAGTTGCATTTTATCGTAAAGAAGATGGGAGTGTTGGAACAATCAGTTTCTGCGTGGTTAGTGATTGTATGAAACATGACGCCACAACTGTACACGCATTTATCAGCATTATAATAACCCAGCTCAAGACGCTACTCCCAGATCTTTCGTTAGTGAAATACTTTAAGGCGATTCTCCATTACCTCCGCTCCGCCCGCGCGGGCGAAGCGCGCTTTGTTTTTCAGGCCGGTCACGGTCGCATGGACAGAATTTCAAAAGGCGCTTCGCCCGCGCGGGTGCAGCGGACATTAATGGAGAATCGCCTTTAGTGATGGAGCCTCCAGTCAGTACAAGAACTGTAAAAACTTTCTAAACTTGTGCTGCCACGAGGAGGACTTTGGGATCAAGGCGGAATGGCATTTTTTTGCTACAAGTCATGGGAAGAGTCCCTGCGACGGTATTGGTGGCACCGTTAAGCGCCTTGTTGCTAGAATTAGCCTTCAAGCTACCACAGTAAATCACATTCTCTGCGCCAAAGAACTTTTCTTGTGGGCCAAGGCGAACATTTCAGGCATTAACATGCTTTTCGTAAGCGCCGACGAAATTCAAAAATGCGATATGGTCTTAAAGCCGCGTTTGGATGCCGCCAAAACCATTGCTGGAACCAGGAGTCACCATAATTTTTTTCCACTTAGTACGAACGTCCTGCAAATGCGGCGAATTTCATCAGATCTGGAAGGTACATCTGTTAAAGTAGCATGCCCTGCATATCTGCAGCAGCCATTCTCTTACACACCAGGTCAATATGTAGCAGCTGTTTATGACAGGGTTTGGTATCTTGGCAGCGTGATAGATGTGTCACATGAAAATTAAGACGTCCTGATAAACTTCATGAGAGCCCGTAATCCTGGCACCACAATTCATTCATTCATATGGCCTCCAAGACGAGACGAATGTTGGGTTCCCTTCGCGCACGTTTTACGTAGCGTGAAAAACCCGTTGCAGATTACAGAGGGACGAGTCAAGCAATACAAACTTGATAGCTCAGAATTGGACTTGGTTATGCACAGTTTTGAAAAATTTATGAACAGTGACATAAATTGACAACGTTTGTTCTTTGTAGATAAAATTATATGAAATTTTTTTGGCGGAAACTGAATATAAAAAGGTTTTCGGCCCGCAAGGCATTGTTGGAATTAACAAAACGAACATATAAAATATTAATTCAGTTATACGGAAATAAAGAAGCGGTGTACAGAGACCTTGCAAATATTCGAACTGACATAGTATATAATGATTGCAATCAAAAGGCTCCGGCTTTCATTCTGAATGCCAAACTGGTCGAGCACCGAGACAAAAATGTTTACTTTAGCATTAGTTGACTTTTGTTATCGGGTAAATGGTTAACATTTAAATATTAAACTGCACAAAGCCAAAGTCTGGGCCATTTTGATGGATTATTCTATATTATACTGCATGAAAACAATTCTGACTATTTGTTTTCTGATTAATACAATAGAAATTGACACTTATCGTTTGTTTTCATGTCGGTGTTGCGTGGCTCTTAAGTCTTAAACATAATAGAACACTCTTATTTTGTTTTAGAACCAAATGCATTTTGCTTGCTATGAATCTATTCAAGAACTGTTATTACATTGATATATCAAATATTAAATGCCAATAAAATATTATTTTCCTGTAGGCTGCCGCACCCATTCAGACTTTTTTGTTAACATTTTAATGTAATTACCCGAAAATGATAATTTTTAAATCGCTCGCTTGTATAAAACTATTTCGAGAACATTAACGAAATTTTTACCACAGTTTTAGTCATTAATTTTCTTTAACAAATCAAAATATTGAGTCCGTCCGATCAATCCCACAAACTATTTTCTTCCGTTGAAAACAAGACAATTTCGAAAATTTTTACACTTTTTCATATATCAAACGTCAATATTTCATGTCCAACTTATGATAGCACGCTGTCATTATAACGGATAATTCTTTAAAGATTTATTATTATGTTTGTGTGATATAAACGTTTTCATTCTACCGAAATATTGTAATCCGAATTTACGTCTATATTGAATTTTGTCACTTTTGCACGCTTGTTGATCTCTCGTAATTTTAATCATTTTTCACAATCTGTTAAAAACGACAAGTTAAATCCAGAGAGCAATGTTAATTGTAGTAGTGTTGAAAATTTGGTTAAAATATGTCCAGTAGTTAACAAAATATTAAGAAACGAACTCGGAGATTATGCCGCCAATCTGTCAGGCTCGCAGTAATTCGCTTATAATTTTTGGAATAATAAGTATCATCAAGTCAAAATCCACACAGTTTTTAGTTATATGATACTCTTTGTGTGTGCCAAATTTTAGCTGAATCTGTTACGGAAGAGCAGGGAGATTGGTCGCTTTGGCTTGGAATGACTCTTGGTTTAATTAACGTTATGCAAAATGATGTATACTAAAAAGAGCTGATGATATTTACAGAGAAATACTGTACTGATTTTAGTAACTAAAAATCGTACTGATTTTAGTAAGTAAAACTAAATAGGTTTTTTAAATAGTAATAGGTAAACGACTAAACGTAGGAAAGTCAGTATAATTGACGAAATCAGATAAATTCAACAATATTCCAGGTTGAACCTACCGGCACTTGTATATCTCTTATGGTGCTTATACTTCGAGTGTGCTTCAGATGTCATGAAGCTAGTAGAAATAATCGCCAACAGCCTGCATGTGTAATAGCTCCTCCAATTCCTCCTTTGTTCCATCGAAAAAACCCGTACAGTAATTGTTTTCTGCTAAAACGCCTTTGAAAGCTATTTCGACATCCCGCATCGATTTTAATTCCGCCATGTTGTGACAAAGGGAAAACCCTTCCTTAAAAATTCGCGCGCTAATGCAAACGCTTGCATAAATTATCATGTCTGTGATGTTAGTAGCCTGCAACGCAGACTATATATTCGGGTATATATAGTCTGCTAATCAGCGGCACAAAGCTTGTATGGTCACGTGAATGTTCGAATTATTTCCGGTATTATAATTATGATTATGTATCAGTGTTATGTATATGATTTGCGCGCAAATTGCATAATTATTTGTGACAACATGGCCGCGCTGATGTGCGTGCTGTGTTTCTCTGTGCTGGAAAAGAAGTCAGATATAAATCTCGTAAAAGGAAAGCGTTCTCTCGACATTGCGGCCGAACTAGAAGATTTGGATTTCGTTGTCCAACCTGTTTCCAGACATATTTGTCGGCCATGTCTCAGTCTGGTTTCTCAAAGAATCACGCATCGTCAAAAGCTGGCGAATCTGAATCAAAAGCTAAAGGATGACTACCTAGCTAAAGCCCGAGCGAATGGTGTAACAGTGAAGATGAAGCACCCGTCGAAGCGTTCTCTACCAGACGATTTCGACAAAGAGACAAACACAGAGCAAAGGGAACCTCGACCGCTTGCGCCAGTTTACGTAAGCCAACCGGTAACATCTGTCTCGACACCTGGTTCGAGTACTGCCTCTCCTCATCATGGCATTATTATGTCGCCATATGATGATACATTCCAACCGATTGCGTCGTCCACGCCAGTAAAGCCTCGTCCGGCCTTCTTTGCTCTCCTTCAAGCAAAGATGGTTCGATGAAGGACGCCATGTTGTTTGTGAAAATAATAAATATTCTGAAATTTTGATTATTTTGCATAATTATAAGCTAACCAATCAAAATGAGTCCCACAATTTCTCGGGAAACCCACGTGACCATACAAGCTTTGTGCCGCTGATTAGCAGACTACACGGCCAAAAATTGATCAGGTTGTCGCATCAGGAGTGAACAATGTTGTGCTGCACCCTGGGAACAGTATTGTTAGCAATGTTGTTGCAGGCTTGTTGAATCATCAGTGTTGATGCAATGTTGTTGTAATTGCAACAGCATTGATATTTCAACAAGCTTCAACAACATTGTTAACAATACTGTTCACTGGGTGCAGCACAACATTGCTCCATCCTGTTTTTAACAACTTGCATCAACATGGTGATTTTTACGCGTGTATATATACCCCAATATATACTCTGCGTTGCAGGCTATGATGTTAGGGGATATCAATGGATATATAATTAAAATTTCCGCTGACAGAGAAACTGACGGGCTCACCCTCTCTCTCCGCCCGTGGGATAACGTTTCCCTTTCTTCAAAGTGACAAAGTCTGTGTTCGTTATTTGTCAAAATGATCGTATGCTTGGACTAGAAGCTCCCAAACTAAGTGATCCTGATTCGTCGTGGGTGATCAACGTATTTATTGAGAAAGCTGGAGTTGTTTTAACAAGGTTTATCGACGTATACAAGTACAAAAACAAAGACTTACGGCTTTGGGCTAGTCGTGGTAATACAGACTAGACAAGACCAGATTGTCGAAGGTATGTGCTAGATTCGTGGTGAGATTTCTCTCATATTTTGATATACGTATACGTCCTTGTCTATTTTGCTTTAAATTACAATATTTTGACGGGATGGTTTGGTTTATATTGTTGTTTCACGTAGTATATTACACATTGTTGCTTTATATATATATATAATTACATAGTCAACAAAAATATTGACAATCTGATTTAGCTGGGTACGGAAGGAATTTATTTTTGAACGTTTTCTAGTTAATATCGTATGCAAAATAATACACCAGTCAGCGCTATAGTTTTGTTTCAAGAGTTCTCCTATAAAATGGTCGTATTAAAACACATCTAATTTTTAATTTATACTGTAATGCTTCCCTAGTTTTTATAACACAGGAAATCAATTTTGAAACATTCACTAATTCATTTAGACCAGAGACCAGAAATATCTTTCAGGGGGAATATGATTATTTCATTCATTTCTTTCGTGTCCATTTTAAACATTTTATTCGACCCAGACCAGTGTTAGGAAAATTGTTCGGTAACAGATTTGGTTGAAACCATCCTGGAACTGGATAATATATTCAAATATATTCTTCATGCAACTTCGAATGGTATTAAGTTTTATAGCTAAAACCCACCATGATTATGATCAAACAGTATATGTTATATCAATGCAAATATCACATAACTAAAAGACTGAGATATATTTTACTGAATTTATAAATCATAATTTGTGTTCTCCAGTTCTATTAGCCTTACATCCACATGCGATCACATTTTACACTATGTGCATTTATTGTTATGGTTCTTTTCTCATGTATAATACCAGCTTGTATACAGCTAATTGATAAAAAGTTGTCCTCTGGCTATCATGTTAACTATGTATTTAGACTCCACCATCTGTTCCAACAAAAAGTATTTTAACAAATACACTGGTCAGTCATTGATCAGTCCATCTAGTACAACAATATCTGTCAATCAGTGAAATAAATTATCTGTCAGTTCAGCAATACTTTAGTTGCAAATATTTTCATTCATGAGGTTGGAACTTAATCAGACCCAATGCAATCCCAGCTAATGTTTGACAGAGTTTTCTATATCTTAATTGAGTATTTTACATAATGAAATTTCATGTAACCTTGGAAATCAATATTTGTCATAGAAACATTAGACCAGAATTACAGATTGCAAGTGAAATGTTGCAAGTTAATACTGAGGTGTCATCTCTTGGGTGGTTGGGTGGTCTTCATGGCAGTAATTGTATTTTTTATAAACTTATATTTTTATAGACTGGCCCTGCATTTATGACCATGGTCAGTTTGGTTTATTCAGTGTGATTAACCAGAGGCATTTTCTCTGTAAACCGGAAATCATCAGAACAGTCATTTACGTATTAACACAACATAAATTCTCAGCCAAGTTAGACGAGCCATTGCGCGTTTATAAAGAAATTTCCAGCTTCCCTAACACCGTCATGGCTGATCGCGGCACAAGATAATATTTTTATTTAAAGTATGATTCATGACGTTCTGTCAACAATGCGTGTGATGAAATCTCCACTGAGACTGAGTGCTTGTGAGGTTTTAAATTACAATCAGTTTCCCTCTTGGTTTTAATATATCTACCTCGTGAGTATCTTCTGCGAATTTTTGTACATTTGTGTGAAATTTTAGCCATGTATTGAAATAATCGCTTTCATGGTTTGAAAAGGTACGTTTATGTCAGTGTTAGTCGTGTTTTTTGAAGAATATAAATTATTGAAGTCGTCACAGTCGTATAAGGTCTTGCCACAACACAGCGCTTTGTCTGTGGCGCCTAAATAAAATTGCAAATTTCGTTTTTTTTCCTTTCAATGTTCTTAAAGTGAGGTTTCAGGCTTTTGAGATGTGATTTATAATTCTCGTTGATTTATGATTCCACATTGCGATAAAAAGAGACATGCTTTTAAATTTTCGCGCATGATTTTAATTCATAAACGTAGTTGCTAGTCATCTGCATGATGGGCAAATATTGGTCTGCATAATGCCGAAATGGTGGCGTTGTCAGTATACTCGTGTGATAGTGATACTTGAAATACATTGCACATTTCTCGCTTCTTTAAACATAAGGAATACAATTCCGAAATTGTTAACTCATCGCCAGAATAATATGATGTTACCGACCCTCCTATGCCATTGGAGTCACATCCTGCAGCAACAAATTTTCAGACTACAGTTTAAGACCCTCGTGTGACTATAGAGACGCATCATCCGTCTGTTAATTTAAATACAGGGTATTAACCAGAAAAAACAGCTCTTGTACACGCGCTTTTTGCCACATAGATATTTTCCAGGATATTTCCCCATTTTCGATGCACTTAAAAGTATGATTCTGATTCATGACGTTCTGTCAACAATACGTGTGATGAAATCTCTACTGAGACTGAGTGCTTGTGAGATTTTAAATTACAATCAGCTTCCGTCTTGGTTTAAATATATCTACATCGTGAGTATCTTCTGCGAATTTTGGTATATTTGTGTGAAATTTTAGCTATGTATTGAAATAATAGCTTTCATAATTTGAAAAGGTACGTTTATGTCAGTGTTATAGTCGTGTTTTTTGAAGAGTATAAATGATTTTATGTCATCAGCACAGTGAAATCGTCACAGTCGTAAGGTCTTGTCGCAACACAGCGCCAAATTAGCCAAAGCTGTGCACCACAACTCTTGGGAGACAAGACTGGGACGTAGATAAATACGGTCACATCTCAGTGGGTCACATACACATTTCAAATACTAGTATATTTCGCGCTATTACACACTTGCGACGACGAAAAATAATAAAAAAACAATAACAAAACAAAACCGAGGCGAATTTTCAACTCCGTCGCTGACGCCGGAGTAATTATGGAGCTTTAGCAGTGACTACGAGTACGACTACGAGTACGAGATTCGTCATTCTCGCGCGTTGTTTGCTTACGCCATCAGCCAAAACTCGTAGTCGTTGGACTTTCGAGTACGAAATTTATCAAAAAACTCGTACTCAAAAGCTCAACGACTACAAGTTTTGGCTGATGGCGTAAGCAAACAACACGCGAGAATGACGAATCTCGTACTCGTAGTCGTACTCGTAGTCACTGCTAAAGCTCCCTATTATGATTTTTGTCACTTCGCTCGATGCAGTTAGTTAAATTCTAGAGGTTTAAAGGGTCTTAATTTCGAGTGGAATTATACACACTTCAAATTCAAGCCAGGAACAGTTGATAGAAAAATGAGTCGACTATCGATCCTTCGGCAGGAATCGAAATGCTCAAGAGAAAATTTAATTTGAAAATTAAACGAGACTTACCTGTAAGTTCAAGTGTGATTTGAATTATATAACGTCATCAGTCCTGAACGAAAGAGTAACATGAGAAGCACGCGCTCGCTTTCCTAACCATATTTTAAAGACAACCAACTCGCTGATTCTCACGCGGAACGAAGAAGTATCGGGAGGGACAACTCTCCACAATGAAGGGAGGGCATGTTACTCCTTCGTTCAGGACTGATGACGTTATATAATTCAAATCAAACTTCAACTTACAGGTTGCTAAGTCTCGTTTAATTTTCAAATTATATACGTCATCAGTCTACGTCACAACGGAGTAGCATGAGAATTGAAAGATGTGAGGGTCAGCGAGTTGCAAGATGAAAGTGAATCCCAACCATCTCAGTGTTTGATACACCGTCTTAATAGTTTATTATCAGAGCTATACAAGATATATAAGTCATTCGCGATCATTGTTGTCCTCGCTATTAAAGTGATTAAGTATGCTGTTTCCAAAATTGGAGACGATTGGTTTATTATAATGTTTGGCAAATGTTTCTGCATTTGTCCGTTTAGGTGAACTAAATGATTCAATAATAGAAATATTTTGTTTGGTTTTTTTATCAAATGCGTACCAGGCTACTAATACGAATTCATGTATTTCTTGTTTGTTTCAAGTGAAAATACATGCCTTATGCCCTATAATAAACTTTTTATTAACCTTGCTTGCTCAGTCTTTACCGAGAATTATCGGACCTCGATCTTTTTGTACAAACTTCGCTCTTAATTCGAGCTCGGTCTGTTCAAAAAGACCTCGGTCCGATATTTCTCGGTAAAGACCTCGCGCTCGATTAATAAGAAGTTATTATTCTTGTTATAAAATGTCGGTATTTATTTAGTTTTGTCTCCTTAAATGGTCACGATACGAGGCTGAAACAGATGATGTTGCTTATATATACGGGAGTAAAGTTCTGTGATGTATACAATTATAGAAACACGCGTGGGAGTTTGGGAGGACGAAAAATAATGAGATGAGTGGGTTTTCCACTTTATATTATTTATCTCCGAAACATCCACAAACTTAAAACCTTAAAAATCAAAACTGTTTCATGATTCCAAGATGCAACGGCAACAGATTTAAGAAAACTATATTATAACAAATCTTAGAATTAAGAATGATCAAAATTCGCTAAATTTTGATCATTCTTAATTCTAAATGTTTTTTATTCTATGACCGAACCGAATGTATAGTTAGTTTTTATATAACCACAGTTAAACTAGTTTTTAAAATGTTTGCTATAAATTATAAATACATTCTTAATAATCATACCTACTTTTTATTTATTTGCAAAATCATGGGTATTTAAGCTTTAGGGCTGCCAAGTGATTTGTTTTAGTAAATAGTAATAATAATATTCATTCTATCAAACAAAATTGAGGGTTTCGTGGTCTTGCGATTTTTGTAATGACGCATCAGCACTCCACTTAGTGCAATTACCATTATAAATACGCATCCCACGTGACACTCACATGACATTCTAGCCGCTGATTGGGTGGGTAAAGTTACAATCATAATTTGTTCTTTCTAGGTTTTAAATCTACATTTCAGTCCATCTGTCCGTTATCCTTCCTGAGAATTTTGACCATGTAGTGGAATCATCGCTTTGAAAATTTGAGAAGGTACGTTTGTGTCAGTGTTGGTTACGTTCTTCGAATATTAACAGTATGAGTTTCTATTGTATTCTATTGAGTGGCATAGTACAGAGCTGTGACGTCATTACGTTCTTCGAATATTAACAGTATGAGTGTATATTGTATTCTATTGAGTGGCACAGTACAGAGCTATGACGTCATTACGTTCTTCGAATATTAACAATATGAGTGTCTATTGTATTCTATTGAGTGGCATAGTACAGAGCTGTGACGTCATTACGTTCTTCGAATATTAACAGTATGAGTGTCTATTGTATTCTATTGAGTGGCACAGTACAGAGCTGTGACGTCATTACGTTCTTCGAATATTAATAGTATGAGTGTCTATTGTATTCTATTGAGTGGCATAGTACAGAGCTGTGACGTCATGTTAAATGAACTGGTAACCAATATAGAAATAATTCATAACACGATTGCGAGGCTCAGGGGCTAAAACCTGACAATAATCAAACATTAAACAGCAAATAAGGCAGATTAGTTTTTTAGTGCAAAGTTTCTGTGAAACTTTGCAGTATTGTGGTGAGTGGCGAAAATTCACATCAGACAGTCAGACAGTCAGTCAGTCATAGTGTAAACTCCGGGGGGCGGAGTGTTTTTATGCGTATAGTAGCTTTTTGTATATAATCAGTAATTTAAAGTTTTTAAATCAGTTTAACTTGCTTTATTTATTAATTCTCTACATCCCTTTTGCTAAGTTCACCAAAATATTGAGGAATTTTGACGGTTACTGTAAATTTTAAAGCATTGCTTTTCCGCGGTTTGGGTTTTGTTTCAAAGGGATTTGCGCAGATTTACCCCCGGAACACCCGATTTTTTCCTATACGTCGCAACTGCGCATGTGCCGTCGAGCCTTCAACATTATTCACGATGTAAAGAAACGAGGAGCGACGAGCATTGCTTCAAAACATTCCGAGCGTAAAAATCGAGCAATTCTTTGAGAATCTACGCAATTTATCAACTTATGTTATGAATTACGAGCATTCAATTCGACACAAATATAATTTGGAAGGTTTATTCCATAAATAGAGCTAATAGGTTAGGAAGAAACGACGCTGTGTTGTTTATGTATTGATAGATCTCTTACACGAATGACGAATATATATTATGTCGATATATAGCAAGTCGATACCTGGTATTCTGCATACAGTACATAAATGATACTATACAAAACGGACATTTTGTGCAGTAATCAAATCATTTTGGCGGTATACAGTATTGATTATATGTATATTGTTTTGTATCGATTTAGCTACGCGTCGAAGTATCCACATCATAGACATAATATGCACCGCGGTTTATTTACATTATTTACAACGCAACTATTTTGGCTATTCTTATGAAATGACGATAAATTGTTGCCATCATATAAATGTAGTGAATGTAGTCACAGTTGTTTGACGAAGAAAAGAGACTAAACTGAGAAAATCGCGTCCGGTTTACATGGGCAACTAAAATTATAATTTAATAGTGACAGTATTCGCGGCTAACGTAACTTGAGTACTTTGAATAATTTCCTTTTGATTAATGTTTAACCTAGTTCATTATATTTTTACTGGCATAAGTCAAAATGTTTATGTTGGGAAAACGTGTTGCTTAGGTATTACAGGGCATGAAAACTTTGCACTATCCTTGGATCCCTAGTTTGAGACTAAGGATCGATCAATACGGTTTTATTGTAATAGACTCCCTGAGCGCCTAAGAGTCCTGTATAGATATAATATAATCCAGCTATAATCGAGAATATATAATCCAGCTTCACTGGTTACATGCTGAGGAGGCTCAGCCATTAGTCTGAAAAGACAGGTGTTTTATGGGATGAAGTATTATTTTGTAAAAATAAATTATGGAGAGTCGGCTGAAACAGCTTTTCAAAATTTTTATTTCAACTAAATGGAATATATAAAAGACTTGAACGACAGTTTACAATCGGAAATGAAAAAGTCGAGTAGCAATAGATCTTAAATACACGAGATATTTTCATAAATTATTTGACATCAAAATACATTCAGATCATACCATGTCTGTTAATCCCAATGGTAGAACGAAACGATTAACTCTTAGCAATAACTAATGAGATAACACTTGGGTTGAACGGTGCGCGGACAAATCGAACTCGACAGAATTTGGGAATCGAACAAGTAAAATATTATAACTTTAATCCAAACGTTCGTGGGTTTGATGCACGTGAATTGATACAGAATTGTGGCAATCGTTAATCGTGGAAATCGGTTCGAACTAAATAACGTGACAATGCAAAAATATCTAGTACTTAATAGTAACACAATAACTAATTGTTCGCGCAGTATCATAAGAAACATGCGACTATATGAATAGAAGTAAATCTATCGAATACACTATGAATTAAGTCTAAATCTGTACGTGGTAAATCATTTGACCAGTTATGAATACCAAATTAAAACGCACACTACGAGTAACCTAACTAACAATCAATTGTACTAGTACTGAAGAAAGATCAATATGTACTTACTTTGGTTTCCACGCGCACCGACGTTGACTTTATTGCTTTTGTGTAGAACGTGAAACCGAGACAAGTACACAAACGAACGTGGATAGAAATTCTAAATTATACTAAATCCACCGACATAAATTTTGATGTCCTCTTACTAGGAGTAACACGTTGAATAGTGCCTTGATTTTCCTTGAGTCACGCAATTTTACTCTAATCTACTGCCCGCAGGCATTTAATTTTACGAGCATGCTGTTTGATATTAAGCGTTAGATAGCTTGGCGTCAAGGTGTTAGGACTAAACTTGCCTACAAGTAGGTGTTTCAAAACTAACAATGTCTATCAATGAGAACAGGCTTTCAAAATTTATAATGTCAAGAAAAATCTCATTTCCACACACAAATAATACAAACGGAATGTTTATGGAAATTCTAAAATTAAGCTAAGAAATATCTCTTCACAAAATTATTTTAATAAGAAATCTCTTCGTCTAATAAGATCCTTGCGACTTTCTTTTATGACAGAATGTCATAAAATATGTGAAAATCTACTCTATCCCATTCTTTTTCTTGGTGTAGCCTATATAATTAATATGACCATTTCGTTACAGTAACTAACCGTGTCTAATGCCATGGCATCTAACGAACTACAAGAAAAAGCAAATTATACAAGACTTAGTAGACTTTTAGTTGACAAAGGAACTGAGGCTTTCAGAAATACATTTGATACCATCCATCCACCTGTTAGTCCCAGAGTATTGGCTGCAAACAAAACATCTCTTCAAAAGTTAAAACCTCGAGTTATTAATAAATCCCAGTGGGATTTACTGTTTCCTCCGTCTGGCAACCCACAAGATTCCAAAACCTTTGATGTCACATTACTTACAGTTCTATTCCGGAACATTTGTGGTTTTCCATCAACAGGATGGAGTGTAATGCCTCCGGATACTGATAGATCAGAGCAAGCGAATATCACAAGAATCAAGTGTTACAGAAATGAAGTTATTGCACATGTAACAACAACCAGAGTTGATAATTCAACATTTCATTCTTTATGGAAGAAAATTTCCCAGGCGATAGTAGAATTGGGCGTTTCACAGATTGAAATCGACGATTTAAAAAATTGTCCTCTTGGGCCTGAAGAAGAAGTGTCTGTGCAAAAGCTTAAAGATTGGAAACTGCACGAAGATGAGTGTATTAAAATGCTTGTAACAATGACACAAATCGTTGAAGAAACCCGCGATGGAGTAAATCTACTATGCCAGTCTTTGTTGAAGAAAAGTGACAATGAGATCCCGCAGACATCCCTCAAGCGTACGCTATCAATACCCGAGGATGGCAATCCTGAAAAAAAATTCTGCAAGGAGAGTAGTAAAGATGTATTGAGAAAACTTGCCAAACATAATTTCAAGAATAAAATTCAAAGAAAATTAAAATTTTTCCTCCCTGGAACGAGAGAGTGGTTGTTAAGGAAAGTTGACGAGTGGTTTTGTAACAGTGTGAGTGAGTCAAGAATAAAGTTAATAACAGCTGGACCAGGATTTGGTAAAAGCGTTTTTGCCGCTAAAATCTGTGAAGATTTTGAGAAGAATGAAAAGCTGGCTGCTTGTCACTTTTGTGATTTCAGTGACTCAAACCTAAGAGATCCTATGGTGATGCTGCAGTCTCTCGCAAGTCAGATGTGCAAGAGCGTCCCTGGCTTTAAAAATGAGCTTCTTGATCAGTTACAGCGACCGCATCAAGTCCAAAACCTCAAAGATGCCTTCCAAATATATTTACAAAATCCCTTAGCTGAATTGGAAATAAAAGAGCCACGTTTAGTCGTGATCGATGGCTTGGATGAAAGTGCTGCTGATAATAAGAATGAAATTACTCATTTAATTGCTGAATATTTTCCTGATCTTCCGAGTACATCAAAATCTTGGTGACGAGCAGGCCAGAGATTTCCGTGGCTGATCTAAGACTAAGAGACGATCAAAAGACGAACATTGCGAATGTTAACGCCAACAATAACATAGATCTTGAACTTTATTTTAATAAATGTCTTCCAAGTTTAGTTGGCAGGGAAGTAAATCAAAGTGAAGTGAGCCGTGATTTGTATGAGTATCCATATCTTCGCTGCTTAAGATGGGATAAATCTATTAGTTTACTTTCCATTTTTGTTGCCAAATGCCAGGGCTCATTTCTCTATGCACATCATTTTCTCTAAGGGCTCGCTATGATCTTGAGAAGATAACAAATAATGACGTTATGGAGTTTCTCCCAGAAGGACTGGATTCTGTTTACGAACGATATTTTAAACGCCTTGAAGACGAGCTTAGCGACTTAAAATATGAAAAGTTCGATGTGATGAAAATTTTGGAAATGCTGCCTGCTTCCGAAGGACCTCTTCCCCTCACTTTCGTCGCTAAGACTTTTGGTTTAGCTCCAGATTGTCGCGAAACGAAAGTCATCATCAACAAAATTAATGAAACCGTATCGTGCTTGTTTTACGTTTCAGATGACAGGTTAACCGTTTTTCATAAATCCGTTATTGATTGGCTTTTAGCAAAGGGATACAAAGATCACCAGTATGCTGTCAAGGTCGATGATGGACATAGATCGCTTTGGCTTTTATGCGAAAAGGTTTTTAAAGAAATTGTGGAAGGTGTTCGCTCAGGACTTGAGCTGAAGTATAGTAATGACGTGAAATACGCTCTGAAACATGGTTTAAAACATCTAAAAAAATGTGAAATGGAGGAAGGTGTGTTTTGGTCAGTTGATGTTGTTATCGTAAATTATATGTTAACTGTAAACGTTTCAGATGTATTGCGACGTTTCTGGCTCACATTACTGCAATGTTCCTGGATTGAAAACGAAGATTTACGCGCCCGCATTTCCTACCATGTCATTGAATTTGAGTCTTTGGAACATGCCCTGGCGAATCTGCATGAATATTACAATTATCTAGGACGAAAGTATTCGCCAGTATTTTTACAATCGTATTTACAAGCGGTTCTTACACATTCTCCAGAAGGTTATTTCAGCGATGATGAGAAGAAAATCGCGGAGACGCTACTATCAAACCTTTCACCTTTTGTCGAGTCGAATTCTTACGAAGTTTCGGTTTTGCCGCGAGCCTGGAAACACAGTGACTTTCCTCATATTACAGATTTTGCTTTATCTAACGATGAGAAAAGTGTCGCAGTTGTAAGAAGGAATTTTATCCATGTGCTATCCCTACCAACTTTAGTTGAAATTATGAATTATTCAACAAAATTGGAAAAAATTCCATGTTGCACATTTTCTCCAGACAATTCGCTCATATTATTTGGTAAACTGGAAACGGCGTTTAACATTGCTGGAAGAAAGGAAGTCCCATTTTTCCCTGGAAATCAAGAGACGTTCAAGACCTGTGCATTTTCCCCTAACGGCAAAAGACTGGTGACTAGCGACGGTTCAAACACCATTAAACTATGGGACGTTGCTAAACAAAAATTGTTGTCGTGGCTTTGTGCTGAATTTCGTGTTGATTGGTGTTCTTTTAGCGTCACAGGGTTATTTATTATTGCAAATTCAAAATCTCAATCTTGTCCGGGTTATTCGTTTTGTGTTTGGAACGCCATCACATTGCAAAGAATTGATAAGCGAAAATTATGTCACGGGGAAAGGGAGAAACCAGTTGTGTTAAAGAGTAGAAAATGTGAGCGATGTTTTCAGCGGGGATTTGAGAAACGAAATCCTAAACAGTTAGAAATAAGGGAATGTCAGCATTATTATAATAGAAAAAACTTTACAATGTCGCGTCCGTGGATCTGCAAAGGTGTGGAGTGTATTTTTTCTTCGGAAGAATTTTGTTATTCGAGTGACAATGAAAGTATTCCTTTGACTGCGATTGTTGCTTGGAACGACCTCGTTGCTTCCCCTTTCCTTCAGTTTATCAAAATGATAGCTTTACAAGATGTGTGGCTCTATTCAGATAATAAAAAACTCATTGTCTTTAAGACATTAGCTCCTAAACAAGAGCAATCATGTCTGTTACAGCCAACGGCCGTTTATTCGAGTTCGTTTTCTCCTGACGGCTCTCGACTTGCATCCTGCAACTCAGATGGATATATCAACGTATGGAATGTCTATACCAGCCAAGTTCAACAACGTTTTAAAAGCAGTCAATGCAGGTCAATGTTTTTATGCTGGTGGTCGGAAGATTTTTTCTTTGTGATTAGTCAATTTCACTGGCTTCCCAAATTAACGCGATACCCGGTAGATGATAATTTAAAGATCCTGTTTACTCATAGTCAGGAGAACTTGTCAGATCACCCATATTCTTTGGCTGGTTTTTCTGAAGGCTTTGTCAGCTTGGATCTCGAATTCAATGAACCCGTGAAAGTTCTCGATGTCAGAGATGTTGATGGTCATTACAGAATGATCAATTTGCCTGGAATTAAGCCTGAGATGGAAGTGGAAATCTCGCCTGGTGGTGCCTTTATCTCTGGTTGGGATTTGAACGAATTTTATATTTGGAAAAGAAATACCGATTATGAAGTCTTTTATCACCATGAATTTGAATTAAGCGATGAATTATTCCATAACTCCAGAGTCGCAGTAAGTTTCAGTAATGATTCCAAAGTCGCAGTAATCATGGATTTTCTGTTTGATAAGAGTCAGATAATTGATCTGGACACAGGTGAATCTCAAGATATAACGTCTGAATTAAATTTTCGTCAATCGTTTAGGTCATTTTGTATTCACAAGACAGGAATTGTATTAACTTTATATGATAACCTGTAATATTTTTTGACATGGACTCTTGCGCGATTCTCGACCATTCCTATCAACGATACTTGAAGGTTGATGATTCAAGCAAAGAAATTAAACTTTCCCCAAAAGAGGACGTGCTAGCTTTTCCTGACTACAAAGGTGATATGGTGTTTCTTCGACTGTCTATTCCAGAAAATTCCTTTGTTCGACGATATTTAGCGAGATGCAGTAGTTAATTTTTTCTTTAACTCGAATAAATTTGTCTCGCGGAAAAGGTTTTTAGGAAGATTTACACAAAGCTGTATATTTTCTTAAATGTTTGTTTCCTCGCAGGTTGTTTATACCCATTAAATGAGAATGTCTTTATTCTTAAAAATTACTGAAATGAACTCGTTCACACGAGGACGAAAACCAATAGGAGAAGACTTAGTTGATAAAGACTTTGTTATGAACGACAGATGTTTTGGAGCTGATTTTTCAGTTAGGATATTTCATAATGGATTTAGTGAACAATAACATGAAAAACTATCATCAAGAACATTGTTTTTGGGCAGCGGCTAGACTTTGCTTGGAGCTGGTCTAGAATGGAGAAGTAAGACACCTCCTTCCCTCCGTTTGTCTGGGAGTTCACCTTGGGCAAGTGATAGCACTCCCTTGCCTCCCTAACTGGGGTTACAGTTTGTTAAACAAAACAAAGATGATATTTGAATACATCTGCAAGAAACAAGTCCTAAAAAACTGTGACCAATGCCAGTCGTATGATGGTGTTGTTTTAAGATGTTCATTATGGTAGTTAGGGAACGTTCGTTTTTAGCTGGGAACGATTTATAGTCTGAAGCGGAGCTGGAAAATCGTAAAAACTTGACTGAAATGTGAATAATATTATGATCAAGACATATGATGTTCATAAAAAAGAAGGTCACGAAACAACACAACAATTATGTCTTATAGGCGTGTTTCAAGCGTCGTGTTAATGCGTTCGTCACTTGAAAGAA